TGGCAGTGTTCAAAGCCAGGCTGGATGAGTTCTTATGCAACCTGATCTGGTGGGGAGGTGTCCCTGCCCATGGTAAGGAGGGTTGTGACTAGATGATCTATAAGGTCCATTCCAACCCCTAAAATTCTATGATTCTTTGAAAATTATTTACTACCTCACTCACGGACTACATTACATTACTTTTCACCTTTAAGAGCTTCCAACTCTTTTTTTGTTTACATTTTCCTTTTGTTTTTGCAATTACATGCTGTATATTAAGCTCTACATTACTTTAAAAGATCTGTTCCTTGCGCAACCTTTAGCTTCATTGTTCAGTTTTAAGATATAAACTTTACCAACAGACTGACAGAGAATGCTCTACATCACAATAAATACAGAGGACACCACAACCAACTCAAAGCTATTAAAGTGGCTGAAATCTTGTTTTCTCCTCTCCTTCTTGGGTTTTCAAAACAAACAAAAAGCCCAAAAATAAACTTGAATAAGCTGTGAAATGAAAGGAAGCAACTTGATTCTCACCTGCAGTAATTTTACTTAATCTCAGTTTGTGTAAGCCCTTTACCAAAGAAAAGAGAAATCAAAAGAAACCAAGTGCTGTGTAGTTTCATACCAAATAAATCAAAGGATCTTTCATGTTTACTAACCGCAGAGCAAGGCCTCTACTTGGATGGAAGACTTGATAATGGCAATTCTGCTTTTGTCACTTCAGAGAACCACAACAGACCTACACATTAATAAGCCTGATAACAAGAACATTACCTAAGTGTGCTTTCAAAAAGAATGGCTTGCCAATCTATTTCGAGCTGGCTCAAAGAACTCAACCCAATCTACCAAGTCCTTAAGATGTTAAAACTAGACAACACATGAATAATCAATGAAACCACTCTGCCAGTAGGGTAAGAAAACCCCAACTAAAGAGAAGAGACACGATTTACAAAACATGTTGTTTATCATAGATCCCAACATGGAAATTTTTTCCTCTTCACTTGCAATATGATATTCAAATACAATAAAAGTGTAAAGTGACAAAAAGAAAAATTACAATACATGCCTGATCAGCTTGGGATTTTGTTTTGGATCAGAGGAACATTAAAGTCTTTTTAACTGGGAAGGTTTGCAAGGACAAATTAGGAAAATTTACCATTTGAAACCAGTCTCTTGCATGCAGATGCCTCTGTTGGACTTGTTATACCATTGCATTGTCTTAACTAGACTACCTTTTGTGGTTTTTTCTGTCACAGGTAGGACTGCTGCCTGAAACAGGTATTCACATTTTAAAATAAAAAATTATTTAAATAGCCTTTTCATACTTCACCAAATAGAGTGAAGAAGCAGCAGTTGCTTAAAATGCAGTGTTTAACTAAAAAGAGCCAAGGCACTACACTGGACTCACTGATGTCACCACTATACGTTAGCCACCTTTCCTTTGAACCACTGCGGGTTTTTCACACGTACTATTATAAAATCTCATTACAGAAAAATAAAGGGTTCCTTCAAATACCTGTGTACACTGCAATAATACTCTGTGAACCTTTTATACTACAAACAGGCTTTGCCAATTTCTCTTTGAAGCAGCAGGCATTTCAGAATTTGATTTGTAAAGTAATATATGGTAAACCTTCTATAGAATTGATACAGATTTTAATAAAAAATTGAAAGTTTACATGCAAAACCCCCAAATAACATTACCTGCAGGATTTCATTATGCATTAAGTATTATGTAAATTTAAAAACATACCCTTTATTCAACTGACTTTTGCTGAGCCTCAGGGCTTTAGTTTACAGTAACAGCATGCAGTCACAGGTGACACTACCCTCCAAACACAGTACTGAAGGTAGTCTCTATGCTTTGCAAAACTCTTCCATGCAAACACACAGATTTAGAAAGAGCTACACCTACAGATCTTTTCTAGAAATTACAAGTTCAAACCTCTCACCACAGATTTGAGCACCTCTTACCTTTTTACTAAGCTAGTGTTATTAGTACAGCAATATCCTGCAATATTAACATTTGACCATACCTACTAGGATCAAATTATCACATGAAAAACATGTTACTAAACTAACACAGACACAAAATTATCATCAGGTATCCATATATTTTAAAATATAATTAGCCCTCCCACCCTCTTAAACACCAACAAACCTCATGAAATTCAACAAGGCCAAAGTGCAAGGTCCTGCACATGGGTCAGGGCAACCTCCAGTATCAACATGGGCTGGGGAAGGAACTGGATTGAGGGCAGCACTGAGGAGAACAACTTGGGGTGCTGGTGAATGAGAAAGTGAACATGAGGTGGCAGTGCGTGCCTGCAGCCCAGAAAGCCAAACACATCCTGGGCTGCATCAAAAGCAGTGTGACCAGCAGGCTGCGGGAGATGATTCTGCCCCTCTGCTCCACTCTGGTGAGACCTGACCAGGAGTAGTGCACCCAGCTCTGGAGTGAGTCCAGAGGAGGGCCATTAAGCTGACTGGAGGGATGGAGCACCTCTCCTATGAAGGCAGGCTAAGAGAGATGGGATAGTTCAGCCTGGAGAAGAAAAGGCTCTACAGAGACCTTATAGCACCTTCCAATAGGTGGGCCTACAAAAAGCTAGAAAGGGATTCTTTATAAGGATATGTAGTGATAGGAGAAAGGAAATGGCTTTAAACTGAAAGAGTAGGTTTAGATTATATATAAGGACTCTTTCTCTTCACTATGAGGATGGTGAGGAACTGGCACAGGTTGCCCAGAGAAGCTGTGGATGTGTCATCCCTGAAGCGTTCAAGGCCAGATTGGATGACACTTTGAGCAGCCTGATCTAGTGGAAGGTGTTCCTTCCCACGGCAGCATAGTTGGAATTAGGTGAATTTTAAGGTTCCTTCCAACCCAAACCATTTTATGATTCTATGAGCCTCTGAGGCGGAGCAGTAGAACACACCATAATGCTAAAATGATGACACAAAGATCATGTATGCCCACTGAGGCAGGAATTGAAATGTGATCATGACAGCAGAGCTGAGACAGGTTTAAAACAGGACTCTGTTAAGAGTCTAGTTAGCACAATCCAACAGCTCAGTAGCAGGTCCTTAGACAAAGTCTTTAAACTGTCAACTGCTTTGTAATTCTCCTTGTTGCACATGCTCAAACAAGAGCAGTCAAAAAAAATCTGGTCTTAAAACTACCTATAAGATAGGTAAAGATCCTCAAATCCACCTGAAAAAGGAAGACTTATAAAGAGAAGCCACTTCTCTGTTCTTGTTTTCACCTAAGGGTCCTCTAAAAATTTTTCAGATCAAAAGTAGACTGAGAAGAATAAAACCTTTCCCAAGCTAGCTTTAAGAAACAATTTCCTCATCTGTTCATTTATGAGGAGCATGATTGGATTAAAACATGTAAACTTTCTTTTGCTTGCAAAGATTACATTTGAGTTTCATAAAATCAAGAGTCAATGAGACTTTTCAGAACTTGGACTTTTGAACTGATAGCATGTTCCATCTGACCTATAGAAGGAGGATTTTAAGGCATTTAGCGAAGTACAAAGAACAACATGTAGCAGATTTTAGCATTTCTATGAAACTAATTGAGTCACATTGGTTCAGATTACAGCCTGCTGCTCTGCTCACTTCAAAAGAGCCTCTTTTAAGCAATCTAATATGATTCCTCTAGAGAAGCATTCCATTCACATCATCATGCATTTTATATAGATTTCAACTTCAGACATCACTTTCTAATTCCAAGTCCATAGAAAGTAGATTCTACACATTTTCTAGAGAATTGCTTATTCTCCTTTCCATTAGGATATTCCATATCTATAATTTCAAATATCTGAATGTAGGAATGTCTCGTCAGCTTTGCATGTTTATCAATTCATTTTCTCCCTAATTGTCCAAGCAAAACCATTGTTTTCCCAAGCCCTGAACAGTACCTTTTTACTCAGGCTCTCCAATGAACATTTAAATTTGATCTGAGCTCATATTGCCACATTGCTTAAATGCTGGTATATTCTTCCCAGATGATACAGCAAACATTTTTCTTGCAGTACTGACAGAAGTTTCTATGTGTTGGTTTTTTTCAAAATACGTGTGAATTTACCTTGGCCTTTTCTGATGTTCGTTTTCCACCAAATCCTCCAGCTCCAACAAAAAACAATGTGAACTGATTATAACACACTAGGTCCTTTCCGCAGTAAGTATTCACTGAAAGACAACAAAAGAGGAAGGTCATATATTCTCTTCAATCTCCTTTTTCATACAGCTAGCATGTGCTGTTACAGGAGGCATGTTCAGCTTCAAGTACGACAAAGCTCATTTTAACAACTGAAAGGACAATGGTCACACTAGCACATTACACTGTTGCAAATCACTTCCTGGCTAGGGTACACTAATGATCTGTTTCAAATAACATCATGAATTTTTGCTCCTTGAAAGCATTAAAATTAAAAAACAAGCTATTAAAATGCTGATGGCATTCAATGTGCTAAAAATATTTGACAACAGAGTGCTGAAATTTGATTGATTTCACTATCTCATATGGCATTAGCAGTTTACTGAAATATGATATAATTGTGCCATAAAATATGATGTATTAGAAGCTATTAAGAATACCTAGTGTGTAAAGCAGATTATGAACTCATACAACAAGTGGCACCTTGTATGAAGAGCTCCAGAGTCTAAGGTCAACTAGTCCTTCTTTTGAAGAGGTTATATTTCTGAACTGAGATTCAGCTTCCTACTTCCAGTTCATATCTATTCCACTCCCCTACACCTTAGACTGAAATTTACAGCATTGTTTGTTAATAATGCTTATTTCCAGTTCCAAAGATACTTAAAACCCATTGAGACTCTGCTCACAAAAAGAACACCTGCACACTGCAGAAACAGACATGCCAATATTAGCCCAGCAAGAAAGCAAAACACAGCTACGAGGAACAAATGGACAGTAAAAGAACCTTTTACAATTTTATCTGTACTCTGAAGGAATAAAAGATCAACAATGTTTAGAGATTCACTGCCTATTAACCTACTCTTCGTCTTACTTCCCAAAGGAACTTGGTATAATTACACCTAAAGATTGAAAAATTCTGAAAACTACAAGTTTTCAGTTTCTGGAGACATTCTGATCCTTTACCTTGGGTACAAGAGGAAAGAAATGGGGTTTTCTTTAGAATAAAATAATGCAGACATAAAAAAGGCATGTAGGACATGCTCTTACAAGACTGCTGCTTTGCAGATGAGTCAACACAACATACACCTATGACTAACCCTTCCAAAACCACTCCACAAACCGTATGAGTAACATGCAGACACACACCCCCTTGCTTAAGCGTCACAGAACGTAAAACAGCTGCCTGCAGGCAGGCCTAGTAGCATTATTATTAAAGAACATTCATCAGTTTGCATATTCCACCTTCATACAAAGAAAACAAACCACCTCTGAAATCTTTTCCTGAAGAGAATGTTCTTATTTCACTATGTTAACTGTCCAAGAACAATTACACAGCTATGGCTAATTAGCTCATTTCTCAGCTCTCACTGAAATTTAATAAAGCTAAGTCTTCTCTGTGGAAGGGCTGGCAGCTGTTGGCACAGCTAGCTAAAAACAGAGCCTAATAAATTCTACAGCATCCCCTTCAAAAGCCATAAACCTTTTTACCATCTATAAGCAAGACTGCTCCTGATCCTTTGTCGAGAATATCAGCCACAGTTGAAACTGAAGTTAATTGTCCTGTAGGATAAGAAGAACACATACACATTATAAGGTTTTGCTTCAGGAATGATGCCCACAGAAGACTCTTTACACTATCTTATTTACTTACACAGGCATGCAGTGTATTTGCATTCTTTTTACTAAGCATGCTGTAGAAAAGCAACACCTGATCCCACGAACACAGTTTCAAAATTCCTTCAATAATACAACAGGTTGCCTCCCTTCTCCCCTACTCCTTGCAAAAAAGCAAATGCAAAAATTCATTTTGAAACAGAGCTTCCTTATTTCCATTTATAATATGGCTACAGGAAGTGTTCTCCTGTTGAAAAGCAAATCAGCAACACAAAAGGACTGACCTGAGGTTGGTAATGGTTTATACACCTCCAGATATTGCTCACCATGCAACATCTATGTAAAGAAAGACAGCTCTGTAACAACAGTCAATATATTCTGTTGTCTCCCCGAAGCCAATACATAGTTATTTCAGAAAGTGTTCGAACAAACATATTAAACAGGCAAATTTTTTCCTTTTATTTTTCAATTTCATCCCCAAAATATCTTCAAAGAAGTTTTAAACTTTTGTGGTTTAACAAAAGCATAGTGCACACAAAACAAAATTTATTTTAAAACTGATCAACCATATCATCTTAGAAGACACAGATTATACAACTAATCAAATGAACCATTTCTTAGGACCTAAGAATATAAACCACTGAATTATTCTTTCCCAGAATAAAAGGCACTTATTAACATTACAAAAAAACTAATTTAAATCACCTTCAAGTTATATAACACATATAAAATGAGCTACATAACTCTTCCATACCTTTGCAAGGTCAATATTTAATCCTGGAAGAGATGGAACACCATCAAACATTGAAGTCTGAGCAGGAATTACTCCAAAGCTAGGCAAACAGCAGAACTCTTCACTTCCTTCAAAGAGAAATTTTAGGTGATCTGGATCCTTAGTTGACATTCCCACACCAAGGGCATAGAGAATAGGCTCTAAGTGAGTATATTTATACACATTGGTGGCCAGTTCACGGCCAACAATGCTTGCCTGGAAATTAAAAATTGGTATAAAATAAAAATTCATAATAGTTAATATTGAACTTGCATTCTTTCTATAATTCTCATACCAAACAAGGTTCATATTTGAACATTTTCTTTATAGCCACATGTAAACACAAATTATGAGTAATAAATAGACCATAAAATATTAATGTATTCATTGCAACACAAGAAACCCTAATGTAATGCCTTATACCTTGCTGCAAGCAATTTACTCCAAGAATAAGTAGTGTAACTTCACATAGCTGCACTTCACACAGCACGTAAGATTTTTTCTAAAACAAACCTTGAATGAAATAACACCATAATAAAACTGAAACAAGGCAAAGCTATCTATAGAGGAGCAAGAGCAAAATAACATTGCCCAAGAACACTCAAGACATGACACTCTTCTGAGCAACACCCTCATTAAAGAGGCTTAACAGAACTTACAAGCACTTAGACACTGCATTATCCAGTATATTTAGCTGTAAGCTTTCCAATCATCAATATGAAAAATAAAGAGTGGAGTCTGAAAATGTTTCTTATTTTGCTTCCTTGCTTCACAGTTTAAACCCCAGCTTTCTTTTTGCAGACAGCAAGCCACAGCAGAAGCTGACTAGCAACATGAATCTCACCACTCAAGGTTTTCACCTAGCTTTGAGTGCATCTGGTAGACAGATACACCTACCGTGTCAACAGATGAAGAGACCACTGATCCAGCGCTTGTTGAATTCATGGAAACATTCCCTTGAGACTCTATCTGACTTAGAGCATCATTCAATACACTTATGGACTCTAGAGAAAGGAATTGATAAAAATTCATTTATAAACAACAATAAATGAGACACTCCAGTTAGACACAAAACAAACACACTGGCAAATGATATATAGCCTGGTATTTCTCAATACATTTTTAAGCACAATAAGCATATATCTGCAAATTGACCACAGTGCTGCATTTTTTACAGGCATCTACACAAAAGTTGAGGCCAAGTAATTTCTACATGGGTTCCATCAGTTCTGTACCCACCAGTCACCATGACACCTATCTGAATGTATTAAGAAGATAATGAGCACTGCATGTTTCAACCTCCTGAGAAGCAAACACCTCAAAAGTAGCGCTGCTTTTTTATCTTGAAAATTATTTGCACTACAAGCAACAGGTCTAACTTTCTGGCTGTTACCCTCTTTACCAAGTCACATAAGTAAATACATAAATACATACAAAAATAAATAAATACATAAATAAGTATGAGATTTGAACAATGCCAAGATTACAAGTGAGATGATGCATGGCTGAACTCAGTTATGGTAAAGGCAGGCCATCAAGAACAGCTTGTTCCTTGATGCTCAATATGGCTAAAATCAATATTAAATGTTACAAAGAATCAAACAAAAAGTAATGAGAATCATGCACCAAAAAATATAAGTGTGTTTAATTCAGAGGAATGCAAAAACATTATTCAGCTCTCTTAACCTAGAGTCACTCCCCTCTACTTCAAAACCCCCAATGCCCATACTGACTTGCATTGCTGCTTGGATTAACACCATGCTGCCCCATCACACAGCACTACCCTAAACAACCTGCCAGTTAACTGCACACCCTCTTGCAGAATACTAATTTCCTAAACTACCTGTTGCTTACAAGTCTCACTGTCAGAACCATCATGTTTTATTTGTGGCCTGAATCTTGGGGGAAAAAAAAGGACCATCTAAGAAACAAATCTATGTTGTCACCTCTTCTGCCAAAGACAAGCTTCCTCTTTGGATACAAGCTTTATCACAATATGATATGAGGTTATGACATTTACATAATTGAAAATGAGCAAAACAAGATTTGCAATTTTTAAGAACCCTTTGAAAGGTAATCTCTTTTATCCTTTTGTCATTCCTGAAATGTATAGAAGAAAAGCAATCCAGAGCTGCTGGGAGAAGCAACAGATCATTTTTATCTTCTGCATGAACCAAAGGAAGGTTTCACATTGCTTTAAAATCTTCACAGGAAAATACAGGTTTGACCTCCAAGTAAGCCTGAATGTCTCCTCAGCTTAGCATTTTCACAACCTATTTCCATGGATGAACATAACAATCATTCTTAATGGTGAGAACCAAAGATCAACAACATGCATTTTAAATCAAATGACATAATTAAGACCATCAGCATAAAGCCAACCTGTAAATTAATAATGGTGCAGAATACTACAATCTCTTTTCAAGGAATCATTCTTCCAGAATGCATATGACTGGATTATAAAACTGGCGAGCTGGCTGAACACTAAGGAGATCATAGAATAGTTTGGGTTGGAAGGGACCTTTAAAGGTCAGCTAGTCTAAGTCCCCTGCAACACGCAGGGAAATCTTCAGGTAGATCAGAGCTCTGTCCAACCTGACCTTGAATGTCTCCAGGTTTGGAGCACCTACCAGATCTCTGGGAAACCTCTGCCAGTGTTTTACTGCCCTCATTGTAAAAAAGCTTCTTTACAGCTAGTCTAAACTAACCCTCTTTCAGTTTAATGCCCTGTCCCATTGCAACAGACCCTGCTGAAAAGCTAGGAGCAATCTTTAAGTACCAAAAGGCTGCAATAAGGTGTCCCTGAAGCCTTATCTTCTCCAGGTTGAACAAACCCAGCTCTATCAGCCTTTCTTTATAGGCTCCATCCCTCTTATCATTATTGTCGCGCTCCTCTGGACTTGCTCCAGCAGGTCTATGTCCTTCCTGTGCTGAGGACTCCAGAACTGCATGTTGTACTCCAAGTGGACAGATCTTCTGAGCGTAGTATCAACTCCCTCAACCTGCTGGGAATGCGTGTTTTAATGCAGCCCAGTATACAACTGGCTTTTGGGGCTGCAAGCACACATTGCCAGCTCATGTCCAACTCTTCATTCAGCAACATCTCCATGTCCTTCTCTGTAGGGATGCTTTTGATGCCTTCATCCTCTGTGACACTGGGGGTCATCCCTACCCACATGCAGGACCTTGCACTTGACGTTGTTGAAGCTCATAAGGTTCCCATGAGCTCACGCCTCAAGCTTGTCGAGGTCCCTCACTCAGGTGTGTGAACTGCACCACTCAGCTTGGTGTACCCTCAGCAAGTCTCCAGAAGGTGCACTCAATCCCAGTTGCTATGTCACTGATGAAGATACTAAACAGTACTGTTCACAATACAGGCCCCTGAGGGCCACCAGTCACTACTGATCTCCTCATGGGCATTGAGCCATTGACCGCTACCCTCTGGATGTGACCATCCAAACAACTTCTCACTCACTGAACAGTTCATCAAATCCATATCTCTCCAATATAGAGAGACAGATGTTGTCAGGGACTATGTCAAAAGACCTTACACAAGTCCAGACAGATGACAGTCATAGCTCTTCCCTTGTCCACAGATGTAGCCACTCCATCATAGAAGGCCAGCAGGTTGGTCAGGCAGGGCTTACCCTTGGTGAAGCCATGCTGGCTGTCCTAAATCACCTCCCTGTCCTGCATGTGCCTTAGCAGAGCTTGTAGGAGGATCTGTTCTGTGATCATCCCAGGCACAGAGGTGAAGCTGACTTCTCGGTAGTTCCCACGGTCCTCCTTTCTACCTTTTTTTGAAATGGAAGGTGCGGTGGTGTTCAGCCTTAACATCAAAGGCCTCATCAAAATTGTTTTTTTTCAAACATGGAATGTTCTTTCAAAGACTCATGTGTTTACTTCTTTACCTTGATGACAGACATCAGCTGCGTGAGATAGGTTTATGGTTCCAGGCACAAACTTCTTGAGAGGTATCAGCAAAAAGTATATGAAATTCCTTCCGTTTCAAGGTGGTTTTCATCCTTTGAAATTAAAGCTGCTTTTAAGATGCCGCTGCCTTGGCTTGCCTGATAATGCTTAAGCAAGCTATTATAATATCATCAAATACAGGAAGCTAAGCTGGTTTTTGTTCTTCTTGTTTTTTACTTTTTAATAAAGAAAGGGCAAAAAATGTTAATTCTTTTTCCTCTCTGGATTACCATCTCTCATAACTTTTCCAGTTACGCGCATGCTGACCTGTTCTTTTCATTTTCCAGGGGCTCCTAGAGCAGCATACAACTGAAATGTCTCAACACCTCAATTTGTTTCAGTCTTCACTGCACTTCTTCCTGGCACATGAAACTGAACTAGTATGGTGTTAGATTTACAGTAGTATTTTAGCAGTTGACCAGAAATAAATCTTTGATGCAGGGTTACACCTCTGAAGAAACACGGTATTAGATGACTGCATTCAGAGGTACAAAGGTTATGATCATATACGTTATTAGAAGCTAAAAATGTAGTATGAGACTAACAAAAAAGAAAGATTAAACATTTTAAAAAAAGCTGGTAAATGAGGTTTGCACACTGATAAGGATGCCTTTTGCATACATTTTGAGTACTTCAAGTAAAAGTTGAGAAGGGAAGCACAGTGTGGTACATGAATTTTAGACTTGTAAACACACAAGGATGTTTGAAACTAATGTTTCAGCAATATGACAATTTGTATTTTTTAATGCATGACTGCACAAGCTGAGTAAGGTTCTTTTTAAGATGCAACAAATATGCAATTACACCAAAGCAGAAAGACCCCTTGGCAGAAACAAACCCTTAAAAAAATTAAAAGAAACCTTTTGATTAACATAGCATTTTTTTAAATTGTTATATTGTCAGTGAACTCTAAAACCTTAAATGTCCACCACCCCAGAATGGTCTGTTATTATCAGCTAGTTATTATAAGACAGCAGGAAAATATTAACCTGGAGAGCAAAGGTTGAAAATAGTCACAGAAAAAGGCTGCCTCTTTCCAAAAGCATTCCTCTTGCTTTCCAATTAGGGAATATTGCATATGAACCATATCCCTTAACAATGGAGGAAACAGCACCAGTGTTTAAACCCTTTTTAAACACATATGAAG